AAGGATGTCATTGATGGGGAAGAAAGTCACTGATAGTGATATTTTATGGAAGTTTTAAATGGATGTTAGAATTAATTAAAAGAGGTTTTTATATGATATATTAGTAAATATCGAAGTTTAGGTGTTAAATATGTAATTTTAACAGTTTGAAGTGTTATGTATGTAAAAATCCCACATATTAACAGGCGCACTATCAAAACATCATATCCATTACATCAACAAGAAGTCATTATCCCATTATGTGGGGTCGATTACATGAATCCTTTTTCTACATTGCGTCCTTTAAAAGGTCAATAAAATGAAATGAAAACCATTGGTGACACCGAAACCCATTAGAGCAAAACAATACATCATCATTTGTAAACAACTTGCAATTATGTCAAGGTAAAGCTTCAAAGGTGACCAAAGATAGATGCGGTGAATGATGAGCAAACTACAACAGAAATGAACTGGGGATAGTTCAAGAATGCCGAAGAGTAATTAATTATTAGGTGCGGACACCACACCTAGAGATGCGTACGGATACTGTGTATTCTATGCTTAAGCTCTGCCTATGTTATGCGTATTTATTGAGTATACATTATGTGTTGCAGTAAATAAGCAGCAAATATTTAATTGTGATGATTTGTTGCTTATTTGCTGTGTATCTACAAATATGCAGTGTAAGCAGAACGTACGCAGTGCATCCAATAATCCGGAGGCATCTCTGGATGCGGTGTCCGCACCTAATAATTACTCGTAGAGAAGGCACATGAGATCACAGAGAGCCACAAAGACATTTGATGTTGCCACTGTGGTTAGCACGTCATAGGTGTCAGATGGTTATGTCAACGAAAGAAACTGGCTTCTAAAGGAGTGATATGGCCGCTTGTAGTTGTAGTTGTACTTGTAGTGTAGTATAGTTCTTATAAACTTACGCCTCAAAACCTATCAGCACCCTTCAGCAATGGCTTAGCAAGCTCCTACGGCAACCATCCTTTATAGAATGCTTAAATATCATAATGACATCTACAAAATCAACACATTATATACGAACAAGGGTGTAAAAATGTTGGTGAGATAAGACAGCACTCGCAGTTATTGTGATATATAACATATCTAAAAAAAAATTAGAAATGTTTTTTATTGATAAATACATATGTTGATAAATAATATATCTACCAAATATATGGAGTATAATTTAATAGTAATAGATCTAGAAGGGAGATTGTGACGTTGGGTGATCAAGTCATAAATAAGAATAGACATTTTAAATATATTGGTCTATTGTTCAAAATGATGGTGAAATAGATGAGAATATTATTAAACGAATTCATGTCGGAAGGTTGAAGTGGAGGAGTGCATCAAGCTAGCCTGGTGTGTGCAGAAAGTATCCCTCAAATTTAAAGGAGAAATTCTATAAGACGGTGGTGAGACCTGCAATACTTTATGATGGTCATTAAAAGAGAAGCATAACATTAAGTTAAGTGTTGCAGAGATGAGGATACTCAGATGGATGATTGGCTTCACTCTTAAAAACAAAATGCCAAATTAGTACATACGTGATAAGGTACGAGTAGCTCTAGTGGTGATAGATAAGATCAGAGAGAGTAGCCTTAGATGGTTTGGATGTATAAAATATTGACCATTCGATGATCGTGATAAGAGAGTAGATGCATTATATTTGGCATATGTTAATAAAGGTGGAGGTAGTCCTAAAAAGACTTAGAAAATATTAGAATGACATTTTTTTAATTTAAATGAGAATTTGACTCTTAACATGACACATTAGAGAAATATGATTCATGTAGCCAACCCTATAAAGTGCGATAAAGGCTTAAGGTTGTTGTTGTACACATGTTGATGAAATAACACAAAAAAATTATCTTTTAAATCTTTTTGTGCCTGTTTATATATTTATGAATGGCAGCACTTCAACATAATTTACATAGGCAACGGCTCTACAGAGCTTGCAAGGTGACCACAAAATGTAATATATCATCATTCTATTTTAAGGCAAGTATCACACTATTTACTTTGTTCTACTACCAAGCATGGAAAATAAAAAAAAGAGTTGTCCTTATTTACCTTCATATTACTTGGAATCCATTATGTTGCACCATTATATTCAATTCTTTTGCTATAAAAAAATCCAATTATGATTTTGGCTAACATGCATTGCACTTGCTTAATACTTGTATCTATTAACCAAATACAAACGCTTTAGGCAAATACAAAACCTTTCACAGAAATATGGATTGGCCAAATCCTGCAGTGTTATATCTTTATTTATTTATTTATTTATTGGCAAAAGATATATTAAACTCTGATAAATCTTATGACACAATTTGACAATGCTATTCAAGATTTAAGGCGGTTAACTTATATGATATTTGTGTTAAGAATGTAAGTTATTTATTGATTTCAATTTTAATGAAAATCAATAAGTTACCATTATGAAAAATATAATTAGAAGCTAGCTAAATTATTCAATAACTTAACTAATGATTTAATTATTAATTATCTAATTTCTTATTTAGGTTATGATTTTAATAACTAGTTCAATAATAATTATAATGATATTTATCTAATTAGTTATTTTAATTTTATTTAAAATAATTAATCATTTAATTACTATTTACATTATTAATGATTTTATTAAATTTTAAGTGTAATTTTAATAAGTCTTAATTATTAATTATATTTACAATTGTCTACTTAATCAATTAACTATTTTATAATTAACCAATTAACTAATTAATATTTATATCACAAAATATCTAATTAATCATTTATATTTTAAATTATATTAATTAAGCTAATCAAATTGATAAATAGAATAAGTATTTATCTCTCCCTTTGCCTATCTAGGATTTGTTTTTCCTCTTCTCAATTTCTTCTTTGTTGTTCCACGTGAGGTAGAGTTTTGGATGAGTAGATGCTTCTCGGCTTCCTTTGACAACATTGTTAGATCGTAAGTCATGTGAAGTAAGAGTTTTCAAAGTGTCACTGCTTGCTTCAATGCTTCATGTTGTTGCTTCATCTATTCTCCATTTCTTCCGCGATATTCGACTTTGGCTATTTTGTTTCCTGTTGTTGCTTGGGCTTCGTGTGAAGTACATAGCCCTGCACTGGATACCCACACCCACCCATACCCAATGGCCTTGACCTTGTGGGTGGGTATGGGTGGATACTCAACATCAAGGGATAAATTGATTTACATTGATAATCATCGTATATCTTATATTACTGCAATTCTCACTCCGTAGTGTGCAACACTTAATCATGCTATGAGTACGATAAATTCTGATATGCGAATTGAAAGTTTGCAATGAGAGCAAAGGGAAACAAGCCTCAAGGCCATCAGTTCGTGGCAGACTGCGTTCAAAAGCATGAAAAATGGGTGGATATTGGTGGGTACGGCATCCCGAAAGTCATCATGGGTGGGCATGGGTGGTTGAAGCCCATTCGAGTAAAGCATGGGTACCCAACTAGGACCCCATGTAGGGCTTTTTCTAAAGAGTCCCTCAATGAAACTTCGTTGCCACCTCTATGACATTGTTGTTCATGTCGAATCGGAAGTCACAATATTTCTCCCCTTTCACACGCTTCTTCAGCTAAATCTCCATAAATCAGTTGAAAATCTGATTCACAGAATTCAGGATTTAGGACAAAATTGTCATAAACAAAATGAAGTGGAGCTTAGACTGATCGTGTGATTTAACTTTACGTTTTTTGGTTTTTGGTAGGATTTAGCTCAAATCTTTCTTAAATACAGCATAAATCCTACATCCAAACACTTTCCAATTTCCCTCATCTCGCCGAACTTTTATTAGGTCCGGTGTAAGGACGTAAAGGAACGTCCGGTCGGAGGCAAAATCCGGCAAAAAAACTCGGTATTTTCTCCGTATTGCTAGGTATTATTTGATAATAACGAGGAATACCGCTTTGTGAAGATCAATACCGAGTTATACCGAGCTATACCGAGCAATACCGAGTTGTACCCAATTTTTTCTAGAAAAACCTCGATACAACTTTTGTATAACTCGATATTGCTCGGTATTGCTCGGAATAACTCGGTATTGGGTCTTCACGTGATGCTATTCCTCGTTATTATTTGGTATTGCTCGGTATTTCTCATTTTTTTGCACGATTTAAAACGTCCGGTTGAAAGACGTAATAATTGTTCCCTCTCGCCGCTGCTTGTGTTCTTCATTTAAAAATATGCTAGCAATGTTCTTTTCCGGCACAATGATGCTCCATAAAGACAAGAAATCCCTAGAGTGAAAACAATAAGGCTATTCTTGAAAAACATAGGCGTGGTGATGTGCATACATACCACAAAATTATTATTTATTGCATATTTAAATATTCTTATATATTTATATATCTCACACCTAAACATTTATATTTTCTTATATACCATTTTATTGTTAAAATCATATCAAAGCATATGCACGAAAATTTGTGTTTTGTTTTAAATAAGTTAATATTAGAAATATTTTTAACATGAATTACAGATTTAACTGTCATACAAATAAATATAAAAAATCAAGTATTAGCTTTAGATATACGATTTTTGTGATATGATCATGTTTGATTGTCTACAAATTAAACTCAAGAATTTCTGGTTTGATTAGGTAAAATCAGAGTAAAGTAAAAGCATTTTTTTTAATAAATTATTTTTGACTTTACAACTAGCGTATTATTAAAAGCAATGTATTCATTTATTGCATGATTTTTTTTATAAGAAATTTTAATATTTGGAATTTTAAATTAAATTTTTTGAAAATTTTAAATTTAAATATACTTGTGATATAGAGAAATTTAAATTTTAAATTTTTATTTTTCAAGTAATTTTTTTACAAAAAAATTGCAGAAAATTAAATTTTCAAACTGATTTCTTTCTTTAATTTAGCAATAAAAGTAATTATTTTTTATTAGCAATCAATAAATCGCATGATTCTCAATCATAACATGTAAACAAAATTAATGAAAATTTATAACTAAGAAATAAAAGATAAAACAATACCCATTATTCGTAGTTATAATTACAACAATGTTATACGAAACAATTTTTAATGATAACAACTTAATAAATATGCCAATCTTCAAAAATATAAATCAATTTCCTAGCTCCTTGCGCATCCACCTAGCCTTCGAATCAGTAGGTTTTGAAAAATAAAAATGATATAAGTGTAGGATTTTTTAATAAATTATCATATATCGTATCAACCTCTTCTACTGAGAAGCCAGGAATATTTGTTAACTCAAGCATCAATTCACTATACATATTTCGAATTTCCTTTGGAGATGTTATTGAGATATTGATAACGTTAGCAACTTCATTCACACTATCAGCCATCAAACAAATACACTCATGGATATTCACACAGTACTCTTCTTTGCCTTGCGGTGAATCATCCAGTTGTTAATACTGGGCTTGTTTTCAGTTCTCTCTTTGAAGAGATCACTAACATATCTGCTTTCAACAGAATTATGGTAAGCACACATGCTAGCGCTTCTTTTGGAAGGGCTTTCTTACTGCTTCTTAAAATAATCTTCTAGTAAAAAAATTAAGCAATAAGCAAACTGTTCCGAATGAAGCATAATTGTTCATTTAGTTAAAGCAGATTAGAAATCTGTTTTATAAAATTATTTTATTTGAAAACAATAATATTCTCATTTGATAGTATGTCTCCTATTCTAATTATAATTTCAGAATGCCCTGCAAGAATATTTCACATTACACATCATAAATTCAAACAAAAAAAGGAATATAATAATATTCTCATTTAATATACCAGGGCCGTGGAAAGGAACTTTTATTTGGTCCGGTGAACGTACGTAGAGGAACGTCCGGTCGGCACTAAAATCCCGCAAAAAAAACTCGATATTGCTAGGTATTATTTGGTAATAACAAGGAATACCATCATGTGAAGACCAATACCGAGTTATGCTGAGCTATACTGAGCAATACCGAGTTATACAAAAAAATACCGATTTTTTCTAAGAAAAACTCAGTATTATTTTTATAACTCGGTATTGCTCGGTATAACTCGGTATTGGGTCTTCACATAATGGAATTCCTCGTTATTGTTTGGTATTGCTCGGTATTTCTCATTTTTTGGCGCGATTTTAGCTCCGACCGGACGTAGTCGGAGGACGTAATAAACAGAAATGAATTGCAGAATGCCCTGTAAGAATTAAAATATCAAAACATTTTTCAAAAAAGTATGATGTTAAGTCCACGTTACATAAATTACATTACACAACTTATCTTCCATTATTTGCACATAAGATTTATACTTTGAACATGCAGGTTGAATGAAGATTAATCCCATTACACAACCTGAGTGGTCTTCAAAAGACTGGAGAAGATTTCATAGAAGACTAAACAAATTTGCTTAATGAATGCAAATGATTTATGAGGCCAACTGAATGTTTTCTAGATTCAAATTGTATAAATGCTTCACGAACTAATTTCTCTAAATGATTCTATCATTCTTGCCAACTGAATTATGAAATTTTTTGAAATAAGCAAATAAAATCAAGTGAAAATTCAAGCAAAAATATAAAGTATAACTTAAAATTAAAAGACCTTTCATGTTACCTTCAGCAATAAACACTCCAAAAGGATAAAACAGATGAACAAACACCATCAATTAGGAATCTTCCGTTACAATAAATCAAATGATTCAAGCAACAATGAATTAAAAGAAGAACCATGATAATTATAACCCATTCAATCACAGCAGCGACTTCAAAAATAGATTAACAAACCATTTCATCATTCCACAACTACTTGATTGTTTATGCTTGCCAGCTAAAAATGTTTAAATTCCAATCTAGAGCAATAAACCCAAAATATTTATTAAAAATCATATAATTATTAAAATATGCAATAATTAATATAAAGATTTTAGATTAAAAAAAACAAATATCTGAATTGAAAGTATGAGACAAGTAAGCAAAAAATGGCGTCACACAGCTCCCTTGCACCGAGACTTCTCATGATACTTTCAGCAAGATTTTAAGGGATCAGAAGAAATAACAAGTAAATACTGTCATCCTAAAAATCCTCATTTGAGATAAATCACAAGAAGAAATTAGTAACTTATAGTTAAATTCATAAAAGAGAAATCAACAAATCTAGTAGTCAATCCTAGACTCTAAGACATCATATACCATATTTGGTCACAAGGTTTCCTTTCTTTGGTATTAAGATTAAGCAGGAATTCTTATATATTTACTCGCAGCATCAAACTTTTTAAATATTAGATGGATGCACAGCATATTATAATCCCCATTAATTGTCATAGTCCCAAAGCTATCCAGATACTAAATACAGGATCAAACCACATTGTCCCGCTGAACCGAAGCTATATGAGTGCAGCTTCCATTGCTTTTGAAGATTTAGGAAACAAAACAACCCAGCAATTCCAAAAACTCTAACTAGGATATAGCCAATTTTCGTAGAAGATCCAAAAACACGATATTCTACAATTTGGCACTGTCATGTTAGGCTTACCAACCACAACTTTCTGAGAAAATTTTACAGTCCTGCTTCAGTGTACTTAATGTTTAGACTTAAACAAATTGTAAGAAACTAATTTCCCTCTTTTCAAGTTATAGAAAGACAAATCATTTATGTTTCAAGTGAAAAAAGAGTTATCATATTATACTTAGTTCATTATAATGGAATCACACAATTCATTTATGTTTCAAGAGAAAAAAAAATGCATCAGATTATACTTAGTTCATTATAGTAGGAATTCCTCAAAATTATAAGCTTTAGCTTCATGGCTTGCCAATAAGCCGAGGCAAATCTACTAACATAGGTAGCACTTCTCTTTATAGCTATTTGACTTGCAAATTTTAAAATCAAGACAGTAGGCATCAACTCATTAGCTAATTCATTACGAAAAATTATTCTAAACAGAGCTAACACCACATGGTGTACTTCATGGGAATGAATGATGAACAATTATAAGAGCAGGCCCAAAATTGTTTGGATGACTTCTCAAGTTATAATCTAGAAACCACAACTGAATAAAATTAGTTAACTCAAAAAGAAGATGGGAATGATGATTGACTTATTCAAGGTACTAGAAAAAAGTCCACTTGTACCTTAATGTTGCAGCACAATTATCCTTTAAGCAAGTCACAAAAACCTATTGAGGAAACATACAAGCATCAAATCAAGAGATGTTCACGACAGATTCTTTTCCATGTTTTAACATCCAATTCTTACTGAAAGACAAATAAGTTAGAACAGAAGTTTACTCTTACAGGAGAAAGCAGTGGTAACGGCAAAAATTTCAACCTACACCAAAGATTTTAACAGTTTACTAGAGCTAATAAGATTTTAACCCATGATTATTCTTTGCAGTCCTATAGTTCAGCGATTTTACAGGATTTGGAAGAAGAAGATCGCGGAAGGTAGAAAGTTACCGATCAAGAAGGCAATGACGTCGACGGGGCAAAACAGAACAGCAACAAAGGTGGCAAAGAGGCTTGCGACTAGGGTTTAACAGTCAGCGAATTCTCGTCTGGCCTCCGATCAAAGTGTCGTATCTTCCGATCCGATCGGAAAGGGACGCCGTCAAAGGAGCGAGGTCGATCAGCAACAAAGGAGGCAAAGAAAATAGGTAGCTGGAAGAGAAGGGTTCGGCTTCGCGAGAGAGATTCAATTCAGCGGAACCATCACGCGTGGGAAGAACGAAGACGAAGGGAGCACTTATAAGCTCAGATTCCACGAAACCATTGCCCGCAAAGGCTGTTCGCATTTTTTTTCGCGCGACGAAATTTCTAACCCGCTCAATTTGAGCGGGTTTCGATATCGCAGAAATCGTTGTTTGTAATACACCGCTGATGCTTCGGAGGACTTTTTTATGTTCCGCTCAAAATTAACCAAACAATCTAATTTGAGAAATGCATGAAATTACTTTATTTTACACTCCTAATTCAGCATACCAAACAGCCCCTAAATGCAAACAACAACAACAACATCAAGCCTTTGTCCCACTATGTTGGGTCAGCTACATGAATCCTTTTTCCCCATTGTGTTCGGTTAAAAATAAAATTCTCATTTAAATCTAATAAAAAAAGGATCATTTCTAATATTTTCTAACCAAGTCTTTTTTAGGTCTACCTCTACCTTTCTTAACAAAAGTTAAATCTAATACATCAACTTTCCAAACCGGGTCATCAGAATGCCTGCTTTTAATGTGACCAAACCATCTAAGGCGACTCTCTCTAATCTTATCTTCCACTGGAGCTACTCCATCCTTTTTACGTATATGCTCATTTCGTATCCTATCTCTAAGGGTCAAGCCACTCATCCACCTAAGCATCCTCATCTATGCAACACTTAACTTAGTATTTCTCTTTTAATGACCAACATTCGGCACCCAACGGTGGAGCCAGGCGGGGTCCCGTGGGGGCACGTGCCCCCTCTGGAAAAAAAAACTGTACCTGTAGACGTTTGGGCGTTTTGGGCGGTTCTAGTATACATCAAAAAGCACGGTAAGCTCTCATCCGCCGTCCAGCCCTTGCCTTCGGATCAGGCCGGAAGCTCTCGTCGCCTCTGCCTCCGACCTCCACTGCCTTAGAAGATTTTGAGTTTCGGCTGTTCGGCTTCTCATCGCCTCTCCCTCTTCCCTCTTGGATCCAGTCGGCAACCAAAACCTAAAGTGCTGAAGGTAAGATTTCGTTTTAGTTTTCTATATTAATTTCTTTTGCATTTCGATTTCAAATGCTATTTTTAGGTTTCTATATAATATTTTGTTTGAATTTGGATTTCGTTTGTTGCATTTCGATTTCAAGTGCTGAATATTCAGATTTCATTTTTTGTATTTTGTTTATAAGTTTTCTGTTTATGATAAAAAAAATTCGTCTGCTACTTTGTTAATTATTTTTAGTTTTATATTTAGATCAACTTATATAGTTATATTATATATGTTTTATATTTAAATCAATTTAAATTGTATTGATAATGATGCTATTATTTAGTTTTTTTTTTTTAAATATGAAGAACATGTTGTATAAATTGTAAGTGTACTTTATCTTATATTTAGTAGTTTATTTTTTAAATAAAAAAAAATATTTAAAACTATCAATGCCGGTTTCTAAGCCCGGACGAAAAAAATTGAGAGGATTTAATAAAATTAAAAAAGGCCCCCTCTATAAAAAATTTCTGGCTCCGCCACTGTCGGCACCATAAAGCATTGCAGGTCTCACCACCATCTTATAGAATATTCCCTTAAGTTTGAGGGGGACTTTTCTATCGCACAATAAGCCCGATGCAGTCCTCTACTTCAACCATCCAACTTGAATTCTGCTGATAATATCCCCATCTATTTCACCATCACTCTAAACAATAAAACCAATATATCTAAAACGTGTACTCTTATTAATGACTTGATCGCCCAAAGTCACAATCCCCTCACTAGGTCTATTACAACTAAAATTATACTTCAT